CCCATGGAAACTATTTTGTGCCTTACTACGTCATTAGGTTTGGATGCATAAGCCACGTGCTCGGGAGATCTCATTTGGTGTAAGACACTCCGAGTACACACTACCGCTCGTTGTCGATATTCCAGATGTGGACTAATGAAAAAATTGAATCATTTGGTATGAGAATTCTTAGACAGCGAATATGGAAACGGAAAGATKAGGCACATTTTTTAGACTGAGAGTGCAGTATAATGGTTCTCATGGAATTAAGTAGATTTTGTAGTGAACTCCAGGTTGTCTGATACCAAAGCGTAGTGTAGTATATAGCATAGCGCATAGTATAGCATACGTATAGTATAAACGTATAGTATAGCATATATACCGTATAGTATAAACGTAGCGTAGCATATATAGCGTATAGTATAGCGTAGCGTATAGTAGAGCATACGTATAGCGTAGCATATAGAGCGTAGAGTAACGTAGCGTATAGTATAGCATATGTAGAGTAGAATACATAGCGTAGTGTAGCATATATAGCGTATATATAGTATGAAGCATATGCCATAACGTAGTATCGTACATAGCATACGTAGCCTAGAATATATGTAGCGTATATGGCATAACGTAGAGTAGCGTATAGTATAGCCTACGTAGAGCGTTGCATACATAGCGTATAGTGTAACGTAGCGCGTAGAGTATCGTTGCACATTAGAAATATTGTAAGTTTGGAGAACTGTACCGCCACATATACACAAAAAGTCAAAAAAATCTGTGAAATATCAATTTCCCTATTTCCACTCTCAATATACCGTTTAAATGCAGACAGAATTAGAAAGCACAGCAGTCTAGCCAGAGAACAGCCGAGAGAGAACTGTTAAATGTACAAAAGTAACCACCACACATCAAAAATGCACTAAATATCAACATGAAYTTTCTCAATCTTTAGGTCATTCTCAACAGAAGGTCTGCGCCTGCGTGTACATTTGGTATTCGWCACAGCCCTTTTGTTAATGCTATGAAGACGATGTAAATAAAGTTATTCTCGTTATAATAATATATACATGTAATACTGCAATTCAATGTACAGAAAGTTGAACTTCAAGATCGTATATTGATGAATTGCAGTTCTGTACTTGTAACAAAGTGTGTGTATTATCATTAAATTGTGGTGCAACATCCACTTAAAAAACTCATAAATAATTAATGAGCTATTAGACCAATAGAATAAGCCTATTTGGTCACATGCATGGACCTTTATATCTGATAAAACACTCCTTATTAGTATTCTACTAAGAATACTAATAAGGGTGACCTTTATCAGATATAAAGGTCCATGACCCTAGCAAAGGACTCAGGTTTGAAACCTGATCATTGACCAATGCAGGATGTCAACCGATTTAAGTGAACAGCCAAGAGCGGTTCTATTTTACTTTATGCGTATTCAATGTGGGATGACAAGAGTGCTTTGTAAAGTGATTCGCGCATGATCAGTTTGCCCCATTTATCTATGAACATATCTGTACGGCAATTTCGCCTTCGGCTCGAATCTTTATTACCTGATAAAACACTCTCTCTCGTGTTTTAAACTATACATATAAAATCCTTTGTCAAAGATTGCTTTCAATATGGTTTTGATATCAAAATTACGTGAGTGAAGACAACATAAGAGGGGAGTAAAGAAAGTGGTGAAACAACTACATATAAAATACTTTGTTTAAAAGAGATTGCTCTCACTTTGGTACAAATATCAAGATTACGTGAGTGAAGAAAACAGAAAATGTGACATGAGGAGGATAGCGGAGGGTGGAGGAGAGAGGAGAGGAGAGAGTATGGAAGATATTAGTGTACATGTTCTCACTCCACACTTTGCAAGAGTCAAGTGATTGATTGATTTACCAGTTTAGCGCCCGGCCTACTTAATCGATGAAATCGATAATCGATTCAAATYGATATCAATCAATGTCAATTAATCGATTGATCATGAAAACAAAAGTTTATCACATCGAGGTTTATGTAAAAAGGCTTTTTTAATTCATTTTCGTTTCTTTTTCTTCTTTTTCTTTCCTATACTTAATTGTGYCATGGCGGAGGCTGTGGCAGCCTCTTCTTCCATTGGTTCTTCAGCTTCTTCAGTCTCTTCATTGTTTTTACTAACCTGAGGTTACATAAAAATGTCAATTCTTTCCAGTGTGTGAAAATTTACTCTTTCTCCGTGTGCTGTTGCTCACTTACTATGAGATCAGTATGATATTTTCAATATTGGTCAAGGCAATAATAGCTAACATTCTGACTTGCTAAGACCGTTCGTCTTGTAAATACATATAATTATGCAGCTGCTTTGAGAGCTTTAGGCTTGTTTCAGACGTCGATCTTTTGTCTAATCAAATTGATCACATGCAGTTCTCAAGAAGTTTGCAGTCTACATCGATTGGCATGTATGGATTATAGTAAGTTTGTCCAACTGAACAAAATCTACTAATGTCAATAAATTCAGAGTACAAAATGTTCATAAACTCAACTCCACCAATTTGATTAGACTCGACAAAAGATCTTAAACGGGCCTTAGTCTGCAGTGCATCTACCTAGCAATTTATTTAACAGTTCAAAATTTGAGTCTTGGCAGCAGCACAGTTTTAGCTTTCTAATTTTACAAAAGATAGCACTTTTTCATACTTGAATATTAATGTCTTCACTAACCTCATCTTTTTCCACAATATCATTATTCTCTTGCTGGACCTTTTTGCTCACTCTAGCAAGTCTTTCTCTTCCTTCAAAGTGACGACGAACCGGTGCACTTTCCATGATGTTAAACAACTGTAGTCCCTGTTTCTCTCCACCAAGAGCAAACACAAATGGAGTATCAGGGCAACAAGAAGTGTTCAAAATATGACCCTAAAGATAGGACAGAATGTAAAAAATCATATTAGAATAATTATGACACAATTGAACACCTGCAACAAACTTTCTAAATTCATGGATTCAGGGTTCATACTATATTTTCACTACAAAATCCAAGGACTTTTCAATTACTTTTTTACTTTTCAAGAACTATTTAAAAATACATTTTTTTATGTTTGCAAGCGTTTCCAGTGAAGCTAGCCACATTTCAACCTCCAAACTATAAAGCAATGTTTTAGCGATTTTCCTCATTTTCAAGCGCCCTTGAAAATGAGTGTTTTCAATTCCAGGACTTGTCAAGGATTTCAAGGAGTGGCTCAAACCCAGGAGGAAATAATGTTTTTATTGTTACTTTATTTGGGACTAAAGCTCTTGTCATACGTACCATTTGCATTTCTCTGGACAAAATCAAAGCAGGCTTATTGTCCTAAAAGCAAACAATAACACAAGTTTATCACAAATAATTTCATACATGAATACTGCACAACAACTATGAAGAAAAATAAGCTTAAGTCAAAATTTGGGTTTTTACCTTAATATCCCATATTTTAACTGCACCATCTGCAGAGGCTGTAACTAAGCAACCAGGAACTTGAGAGCTCAAGGAAAGACCTGTTGGAAAATCATTTATCAAGCATTGCTGATGGTTAAACTATATTTCCTTTATAGAGCGGATGTTGTATGACTGTGCAAAAAACACCACTGTACTTTCATGCTGTGTCTGTACCATGCCGCGACAGTGAAGTATTCTGGATTTGGATCACTACCAGGTGGGGTTCCTTGACCCTGTCATGCTGTGATCCGTGTCTTTGCAAAGTCAAACAAAATCTGCTCTATGTTTTTTCTCATCCTGGGTAACCTCTCTGGGATTAGGCACACAGTAAGTTTTTCCAATAGAATAATTAATATACATATGTCCAGCGTACTGCTAACTTACCACCGATAGCACTGTCATGAGCCTGTAAGGTGAACACRGGAGAGTCTGTCCTTACATCACATAAATATACAAAGCCATTGTCTGTACTTGTCTGAGAGACATGTAAAGTAAAAGAATAAGGTTGTGGCCACTTTAAACATGAAGAATATTTTGTACAGAAGGAAGGAATATAWGGACCAGGGGATACAACAAGGAGGGAGAAAAGGAAAGAAAGGAAAAGTGGAAAGAAGGACAAATGGAGGAAGGAGGGAAGGAATGAAGGTGGGAGGAAGGAAGGAAGAAAGAAAAGAAAGAAGATTGGGGGAAGGGTGATGCGAGTTTATGACCACAATAGACTTGCAGAATATTTTCATTGGTTAAATGAATGAAACTGTATTTACCAAGAAGTGAAAGGGTGAAAAATGATTCCAAATAACTTTTTCAATCTCTCCATTGAACTTCCACTGCTTGATATTACTCTAATAAAACAATGAAAACCAACATGCTTATCAAAATCTCATCTCACCAGAAAAATATAAGATTCTGATAAGCAAGTCCCCCTAAAACAAAAACAAAAGAAAATCACAAGGTTAAAGGAGTCTAACATTGAGAAATGCTGACCTCTGGACTTCTACAGTCAACAACTTTTGCTCTCCTGAAAAAAAAGAAGATAAAATATAAAAAAGGAAGGAAAATAATTCACCTATTGCTAATAAATATAATTGCTGATGAATGCATTATAAAATAATTCAAGAAAAATTCAAGGGCAAAACTGTAGTTTTGACAACAACAATCATAAAGATCTTGACCTTGATAATTTATTATATTACATGTATATATCATGAGGAACTTCATCCAATAATTATCAAACATTAGTGACTTCTTACTTATCTAATGACCCTGTGAGCAAAGAYTGTGGTTCATATGGATGGAATTCTAGAGACTGGACCTGAAAACATAGTATAATTATGTAAAAATATATCAAAGACCTGAAAACAAAGTCAGAAAATCAATAGAATAATGAACTAATAAATCACAAAAGATGAGTGCTCAATCTTAATGATATTTAATTGTTCTCACTTTGTCTTTATGATGATTTAATACATGAACAGCTTTAGCTTGAGCCATATCCCATAGGATAACTGTASAATCTGCAGAACCACTGGCAAGAACATTTCTAAATAAAAGCATCAAAAACAACAATCAAAAACAACAAATATTCACCCTCCTTTATGGCAAATGGTACACTTCCCTTTCTAAAAGTTAGGTTTTTATTTACAGATATGTTCACACTCGCTTTCATGGAATACTTCAAGGAGTTAATCCAAGGGGGTGTCAGGGGTGCAGCATGCCCCTTCCCCCATTTGGGAAAGTCCAGCTTTTAAAAATACCTATTCAATGACATATGATTTATATGACCTGAATAATTAAGACAGACCACCACAAAATTTATAGATGTGCCAACCCTTTCAAAGTTTTCTGGATCTGCCCCTGACTCCTCATTCCTTGTTTTTCACAAAGGCTGTAATATCTTATAGTTTTCATACCTGATATTRTGATTC